AACAGAGCCACTATTCCAGCACCTCCTGGCCCACTTTGTCCACCAAGGTTTCTGCTTTTCAGTTTCCTTTCAGTGCTGCCTTGTCTGAAAAAATCCTGCGGCTCTGCCTAAAGCTCCATCTTCTGGAGTCTTGGAATTTTGTTGAAAGAGAAAACAGCACTAATTAAAAAGTAAAATAGTTCCTGACCTGTGAAAAAGCAGCAAGTGCTGTGCAGTGGGAGTAGGGCTCTGCAATCTCCACATGGCTTGTAGGCACTTGCAAGGCCTGGCTCCACGGCAGCACATGGCTTGATAGACCTTGCTTTTTTTTCCTCCATAGCCCTTCTCAGGCAAAAAACCATTCCTGGTGGTTCATTTCCTGTCACCCTTCATTCACATGGGCATGCAATTCACTTTGTTGCATGGTCAGAAACATGTAAAATCACATCCCAGAACCAGAAATCACTGGTGCAAGTCTGCATTTGCCAGTGCTTCTGCTTTTAAACGAATGTTTTAGCATTCACCTGGCTTCAAGCTTTTTATCCACACTGTTAACAAAAAAGGCTGCTAAAAAAAACCCATCTCTTCTCACAGATACCTGCGTCTCAGTGGAATAGTGCACCACGAGATCTGAGCAAGGAAACTGGCACACAAGACTGAATTAGGCGTGCTTGCATGGCGTGGCACTTCCTGGCAAAACTGAGACATTCACTTGGTCCTGAGCCAGGAGCAGAGCATTAGAGAAGCAGGGTTATGCAAAACCTCCCTGGAGATTCTTAGTCTAGAAGGGTTTGATTTTGAGCTTTTGGATAAATTCAATACCACGACAGAACGCAGAAGCAGACCTGCAGATCTACATCCTGCCCCCCAAAAAACACAAGTCACTGCACCTGGTTCCCCCAGTAAAACTGATTAAATAGAGTTGCTTGTCCAGATCCAGACATTAAAAAAAAAAAAAAATTAAATCACATTTCAGGAAAGATTTCAGCTACAAGTTTGATTCTATACACAAGTCACCAAAGTGCTTTGGTTCTCAATCCCCCCCCCAGTCTCAAGGTGGGCACTGCCCATTATAGATGGAGATGAGGGCATTTCCAAGGCACGCAATCCACTCTGAGGACCCTGCAAACCTCAAGGCTGATCTCCAGGATCACGACACAAAGAGGGCCCAGGCTTGCCAGCACAAGAACACAGGAGGTGAACGATTCTGGCTGTGTGCATGCAGGCTCCCTGTTTCCCTATTTATCTATCACTGCAGTAGATCCATCTGTGCTATTTTTCTGTGGCTCGCAGCCAAGTGTTCAAGAGGATGAGTGCAGAAAGCGTCACTGCGCAGAGGCGTTCAGCACACACGGCTTTTGTCTGTGCTGAAACGACCTCCAGCCTCCCCCCAGGATTAACCACTGTGTTTCAGGCAAATGTCAGGCAGAGCATGCTCCCCCACGGACTCAGCCTCCTACAGGCTCCCAAATGAGTGCTTGGGGAGGGGGGTGCTGCTGATTGCAGAGACCACTAATGCATCCAGGCTGAGCACAAAAGGCAAAGTCACTGCCCTTTGGCACACAGTCTGGGAGGGAAGATAAAGCATGTCAGTGCGACAGGTCAGAGACATCCCGCAGCCATCCTGCTGTGATCTTGGGAACACTGCCAGAGGGAAGCCTTCATTTCTGGAGCATCCTCAACCCACTCTTGCTTTCAGAGTGCCCTTCTCCTCCTTTCTATCCTCCCTCTCAACTGATGCTGCATTCTGCTTGCTCCTGGAAAGAAATAGGGCGAACATAACCTGATTAACCAAGGGGACTTGGACAGAAGGGGGCGGGAAGTAAGGGATTAATGCAGAGAAATACAGAGCCCTTCCCAGCTGTGTTAGCTCTTGCCTATTCAATAATTAAAATGCTTTGTGGTGACTTTGGAATTTGCTGTGAAAGCTTCTCGTAAACTCTGTTTCAGCATGCACACATCAGAAGAAAGAGAACATTTGGTCTGACAAGCTGAGTTTTCTTTCCTACTCCAGGGTCAGTCAGGAGCTTAATAATCACTTGGACGTGAGCCTATGGCTCCATTTTAAAACATAAGGGTCCCCCTTGCTGTTGTTCATCTATCGACAGCTCAAATCCAGCTTTTATTTCGCCAGCCATATTTGAAGCGTGGGTTGGAGGTTAACACAGACTTTCTCCCTTTCACATGCAAAAAAACCCTCAAGGCAAACAGCAGTTCCTACAGGTTTATTTGAATAAAGAACACATTAAATAGGCCCCGACTTCCTTCATTCCCTTTTTTCTTTCTAGCCATTCTTGTTTGCTTACCGTATAGATGTTTCAGGAAAGTGTTCCCATATGCAGAAAAAACGCCTTTCCCAACCTTCACGGAGCTATTTTTGGCTACTCTTACTGCTTAAGAACTCTTACTGAGATCACACACTGAATTAACTGGCTGTCCGTAACCTTTCCCTAAAAGATACTGAACGCTACTGAGGGATTTTTGGGTTGTTTTTGCACTTAAAAAAAAAAAAAAAAGTCATCCCCTAACATAATATCCTATTGACTCCAGATCTCCAGGTGTTCTGCTTGCAAGAGAGCATATTTTAACAGGGGATGCAAGACAGATTATTGGTCAAAGAATGCACAACATTACTGCTAGGCATGTACAAACAGAAAGAAGAGAGTAAGGACGTATCTTTCACCTAGAAGATCCTAAAAACACATAGAGTACCTTCAGCTTTCACTTCTCAGGACCAAATCTGGGGATAGAAAGACTGTTAAGTTCTACAAGCTGCAGAATGAGAGAGATTCTTCTTCCTCGTAACGCTGGGGGCACAAACAGCTGATAAGATGAAAAATGAAAGAACTCTGGACTGGCAGCAGCCAAACACACAGAATGCTATTCCATGAGATGCAGCAGACACAGCTCCTTGTGTCTAACATGTAAATGCATCACATCACACCCTGGCCACCAGAGACCCAGGCTCTGCTCCACCTCTCATCTCACAAATTCTAATGCTGAAATTTTCCTGCCTGACTCTTATTGCACTGCCCACAAATACTTCAGCCTGGAGGCTGAGAGAAGAAATGGGTGAAGCCCACCACCCCAGAGACCAGTTTAAAGCTTTCATGTGGCAAAGACAAGCTCCAAGGGAACTGCACATCCCTGTTGCTCTGCAAAAATTGTTCACTTTCACACAATAAGCAAAAGACAACGCATGCCAGTATCTTTCCCCTTCTAACGTCAGAGCATTAAATATCAAAGGTCTTCCACAAATACACCATGAATCATGCACAGACTGTAGGATGTATGGAACAGGAGTGACACACAATTAGAAAAAAGGGATATGAAGAAAGTAGTAGGTAGGGAGTGTTCAGGGGGTGCAGTATTCAGAAACTGAACTCTCGCAAACACACACCTCAGAGAAATCACAATCTTATCTTCCAGTCTCTCACATTTTCTTTTCCATCAAACTGATGCATTTTAAAAGGGCACCTGCACTGAGATACTGCTGCTTAGGGCCAGAGCGACACAGGGTCTACAAATACAGCTGAGTCTGGATAGAAGTATGAGAAAAAACCACAAGGTTGGAGAGAATCAGTGAGGAGTGGCATACCATGCATTTGCCACACCCAGGACACAGGCTGACCATTCCTTTTACCATTAGGCCCAAGCTAGAGAAACAACACATTCTGCAAGCATCAAGACTGCTTCTGCAGCAGCTCAAAATCAGGCACCCACTCTCTTTTGTAACACCCTCCTCTTTAAGAAAAACTTACAGAGTGCAAAACAACAGGACTATGCCCTGCAAATATTTGCTAAATATTTGTGAAGTTCCATCTAAACACATGAATCAAGGCACCACAAACCAGCAACTCCAGGCTCAGCACAGTGACGTAGAAATGATTTGTTAGCAGCCTGTATGCAAGCAGCAAGATTTCATTGCCTGTTTAAAATCTAAGCGCACATAAAAAGAAAAAAACAAATTGATAGGACTATGGGCCAATATTCACATAACATTCCTGAAAATATCCAGTGTGCTAACACTAGAGGCATGTTTAGGAACCATTTTGCCCTTCTGTGGTTCCAATTCCACTTCTCTGCTTTGTTTTATCTCTTCAGTTAGCAAGGTTTTGCTAAGGAGAGCCACTGCATGTCTGCACAATGCTGTGCCACTGCCAGAGCTGCTGGTACCTGCCTGGAGGACATTAAAAAAGCCTCTGTCATCGTGTAAGGAAACAGAGTCAAAAGACCAGTCAGTGCTCTTCAGCCACACAGGTTGCACCTCTCACTATTCAGTCTCATCTTCCTTTGAAAACACTGCCATATTTTAGACCTTCAGTACTGAGTCATCACGCAGCATATCATGTTTCAATTAAGAATTAGGGAGGTTTGAAATTAAAAAAAAAAAAAAAAAAAAAAGAAGAAGAAGAAGAAAAGTCTATGGAAAAATTTATGACCATCTTGAAAATAACCACAAATCAGCCCCCTCTTACTGCCACACCACACCACACTTTGAACCTCTACCTGAGGCACAGCAGAACCTCAGAGCACACACCTATCTTTGCTGTAAAAAGAATGAGGTATACAGCAAAAACTCCTGTGAGGAAAGCACAGACCACATAATACCTATGGCAGTCAGCTAACATAGAACTACAACATACCTAGATGATGGGGTAAACTTCTAACAGGTAATGTAAGCTAGGAGAACTTGGTCGTTAAGAAAAAGTTGTGTGTCTTTCTTTCTCTTAGCTACCTTCTGCTTATAAAATAAAATTAAACAACAAAACATAAAAGCCTGGGAAGCAGAACTCCTTAAAAGATAACCTAACAGATCTTCTGGAGCCTTGTTCTATTTCCACTCTAGCAGCACATTCTGCTGGGAGTACATATGATATAGATGGTATTTAAGAACCCTACCCCATAACCTCTCAGTACAGTACCTGCCTTCTGCCATCTGCCCGCAGGGCTGCGTTCACCCACAGAGAGACCAACAACAACCACCACAAAAAAAAAAAAAAAAAAAAAAAAAAAAGGACCTTATGCAGAGACAGTGAAGTCATTTCTCCCATCTGAGAACAGCAGAAGAGTTCAACTCTGTAACACAAGCCGCAGCCGCCCCCCAGGACTGCTATCATCCTAGGGCTGAGCCAGCCCAGCTGCAGCTCTTTTAAAGAGCCTCAGGTGTGGGGGACTGAAATGAAGGCAGCTGGTTGCCTGGCTCCATTCTATTGATAAGTTTGCTGAACTGTAAGTTAAGCTTCATCTTTCTTCTCCCATAGCCCTTCCCAGGGAATGAATAATCATTTATTGTGTAGTCATTCGTAGGCACACACATTTTCCACATCTGCTGGAAAATGTACAAAACCAGAAGGTGATTATGTCCTGGTCTCCAGCTTTTCTACTCCAGGTACAGAACTGGATTTTATTTACCAGGATCCACAAAGAGTTACAGGAACTAAGCCATGTATTACAAGCTCCAGAAACCACTATGAGCTGTAAAAGTTGTGTTTTTATAATTTTGTAATTTTATAGCACTGATGTCTGAAGCAAAAGCTTTGAGGAGAAGCATCCTCCGTACTGAAGCGTGTCCCTCAGGAAAACATGGAACAAACTATTTTTGTTGTCTAGGACTTCCTTGCCCATCCAACTTTATGCTGCTGAAGAGTCCTGACTATGATGCTACTGTCTCCTAAACAGATTAAAGAGAGAAAGGGATGAGTTCATGTTTTGCTTGTGCAGTTTCTGGAGGGCTGGCAGGGCAGCAAGTCTCTCCACCATGCCTGTATGTGTGTAATATTCAGACGGATTCTCAGTTTTCTACACTGGTCATATCTTCAGTATCTTCAACTACCAGATGCCAAGTTTCCAAAAGGATAACTTGGCATTTTGTTTCATAGAAATGAGAGTTCTGCCATAGTCATATTTGCATGGGAGAGAATATATAACCTGCTGTAATTCTGAATGTGTCCAGGGTCAATCAGATATGCAAAATCTGGAATGCTGGAAAGTATCTTTGAGAAAGAGAATACTGTGATGAGACTTACTCTGCTGTCACTTAGCTTGCTTTTATTCATTGGCTCACACTAAGCCCACAGAACACTCAAGCCTGTTCATGTGTTCCTTGAAGGGTCCATTATCATCTTCTTTGCTGTCATCCCTCTTATGGAAGGAATAACAAATGACGTATGTTCTTCGTCGGAGGGGAGACCAACACTGTCCCATTAAGTGCATTGTCTCCCAAATGGCAAGAACCAGTGAAAAAAAAAATTGCCTTTACAGGACTCCACAGCTCTTTACCCTGAGCTAGCCATCATGCTGGCATGGGATGTACTGAGAAGGATCCTGGGAAAATCAAAACTGACAGCTGCAGAATATGAATATTAAAATAAAGGCAAGGAGACCTCTGCTCCAGATGGAATATAGGGACATGCCTCTGACCTTTTGCTGCTGAACCTGCCTGCCCTCTGGAATTGGCAAGCTGCAGTGGCAGCGGTCTGCAGCCCTCCTCTCATATCCCTTACTGGCTCCTTACTGTAATTTATAGAAAGTCTCCACTTACTGCAACCTGCCAGGCACTCAAAAACAGCATGAGAAACAGAAGGAGTTTTGCTACTGCCAGTTTAGAAGGCAGCAGTGAGGATGTGTTAAGGATTATGCTCTTTTGACAATCAGTGGAAGGCAGGTGCTGAACCAGCTGAGACTTCTTGGCGACTTTGTTAGGCAAAGACTGAGTAAGGATTCTTACCCACCAGGCTGCCCTTAATCTGCTCTCTGACCATGTGATTTATCTGAGCGTCCCATTTCCTGCAGCTCCTAAGCAAATGAGTAAATATTCAATTATGTAAAAGGATGGATTTGGCTTGAAGAATTCTGCACAGTGACTCATGCTTCCATGAGTAAATTCCGTCCTTTAGAGAGCAAGACAGTCATGTATTCTGTTTTGCCCAGTGACAGTTTGGGAAGCTGCTACAAGAAAAAACGTTTTCTTTAGCTTTATATAGAATGCGTAATCCTTTGCCCTTGTGCTAGCAAACATAACTAGCCCTGTTGGGTGAACAGAAAAACTGGTGAAACTTGGAAGTTCTGAGTATTGAAACATCAGCTAGAAACCAGATTGCAATTTAAAAAACAAAAAAAGGTCCAACAACAGGACACTGGGGAAATAAAATCTTCAGAAAATGACAATTATTTACACAGGTCTCCATATATTTTGCCCTGTAAGTGCACACTTACAGATAGTAGGCTGCAGAAATACAGATGTATAAAACACCCGGAAATGAGAATTGCATCAGCTAGCACATCCCCCCACCCCACCCATTTGCCACAATGACAGTGCAAAGAAAGAGAAGCAGCAAAACAGGAGATCTCTGCAATAGCAGTGCCCTTATTGTAACATGAATGCATGGAAACGTGGGAAGAGGGATCCAGTAGTGTTTAGACTGTGGCTAATCAGTTATGTGTAGTGATACCTGTTAGTGCAAGCCAAAGTGAAACCCATCCTTCAGCTTTTAGTGTTCTTAGGACAGTTCAAATGAGGCTGAGGAAGGGATAATCTTCCCTGGAAACACATTTCAAACATTTTCACCACTCTAGCTTCAGCACTTCCCACTACTGCAATGGAAGGTAACAGTGAAAAAATAACAGGAAGAATAAAATTCCTTACGTATACAAGCGAGGAAAATTGACCCCATCCCTACAGTCAAAGTCAGTCACTTAAAAGCAATCACAACAAACCTTGCCTCCATCTTCCACGTGCAAGAACAATACCTTTCATTTGCTCATCTCATTCTGTGTTGTTTTTTTCATGAGTCTGTCAATCATGCCAGATGACTGCTCACCTCCTGAGCTTCCACTGCTGCTCCTAAGATCATAAAGGACACATAAAAAGAAAAATTTGGCATTTGCAACCTTCACATTTTTATAAGCCAGGCTAGTTAACACTAGCATATTAAAACCTGTAACTCATTTTTAACAAAACAAGGCTTCTATCTGCTGACCATCACTGAAGACAAATTGGGACCATAATGGTACTGAAACATCCTAGTCAGCTTGCTCTGACCAACTGTATTAAAGGCAGGCCCTCTGGTATTTGAATAGGCACTACACAGCTAAGAGGAACCTGATGCTATAAGTTACCCTATGTTATAAATAATGGAGATTTGGTCTCAGTTCTGTTCTCAGTAACAAGCAGCACAAACACGAGCAAGTGAAGATTTTACTAGAGCCTATGCCCCAAAAACCAAATCCAATTTTATTTGCCTGAGCCACAGAATTAGAACAGTCCTACCATACCAACATTTTTATCTTAAAAACTTTGGTTTCACCATGACAGTAGTAACAATTCTGTGATTCTGTGATTCTGTGAAAAGTACCATTTGATCTATGCTAGTTACATATTTAATGTACTCTATCCAGCCAGCCTTGTCTTATCTTACATTCAGAATCTTTGGAAGCCAAATTTTTTATTGAGAGAAAACGTTTATTGGTGTTTTTCTGTCAGTTGTTCGCTTTCTATCCTTCCAGACAGACACTAACACTTACAGCGTTGTGTAATGCTGATGCCTAGAACTGGATGAGATGTTCACGCCCATGCACACACAGCATCAATGTGAATTCCTGGGATGCAAAACTTAACTTCCTAATCTGCCTTTGAGACTGCTGACGGAACAAGGTGCTCAGCGAACCCCACGTAATACAGAACAGCACAGCTACATGCTACGGCTGCCTTTTGTTCTGCATGCAGGTGGCATTAGGGCTGCTCAGCAGCACCTTCCCCTCTGTCCCACAGCTCCTGCAGCCCACCCTGCTCGCCTCACAGCAGTCACTCGTCCCCCCAGCACCAGCAACGCACAGAGCACTTCTGGTTTTTGCAACCAACACGTCCATTGGTGAAAGGACCCGTCTTTATGGTGAGAACCAAAACTCTGTGTTTCTGGCTTGAGACTGACGTACATCTCTCCTTATCCTATTTTTCAAGCCTTTCCAGATGTTTCCTCAGCTGCGTTTCTTGTTTCTTTGGTTTCACTAACAGACTCCCAAAGAAATGAGGCACCGTCCCCATCAGGTCGCCATGGCAGAACATGGCTGGGATGTCAGTGAGGTGTCACAGCAGCAGCAAGTCCCTTCACTTGCGAAGTGCGAGCCTTACACACAATAAGATGCACCCACGGGCACATAAATGGCACGGGTCGCCGAGAGCGGTGGTGCAGGCCAACCCCGTACCATATGGCGGCACAGGGCACGCTGTGCGGATCCCCTCAGACGGGCGCCCACACGGAGGGCAGCGCAGCGCTCACCACACCGCTCTCAGCCCCTCAGCGGGCGCGCGAACACTGACCGATACGCGCCGTTCTGCCGCCGGCCGCCCTCTCCGCTCCCCCTCCCCCGCCGCCTGCCGCCCTCCGCCCCGACGTGTCGGCGGGCACGTCCCCACCGCCGCGTCCCGCCCGCCGCACGTCAGCCGCCCGGCCCTTACTTAAGGCGGCGGCCGCCTCACCCGCCCCGCCACGACCGCCGCCGCGCTGCAAGGGAAAGACACCGGGTAGGTGCCGGCCGGGGCGTTCGCTGAGGGGGAGAGGTGAGGGAGGGGAGCCGCTCCGGGGAAGGTGCGGTGGGCGCTGGCTCCCGCGCGAGGCCTCGAGCCGCGCCGGCACCGCCGAGCACCCAGCTGCGATTCCTCTCCTCGCTGCCCGAGTGCCTGTGTGCCCTGCTGGGAAGCGAGAGCTTGGCACGTGGAGGTTACGGCCATCTAAGCACGTCGATGGCTTAAAAAAAATTAAAAAAATAAAAGTGAGACTGGAGAGCTGATAGCCGTACTCGGGAGTATTGTTATGTTCCGGGGACACGAGAAGCAAGGTGCCTTATGCAGGATGCGGGTTCTGCTTGGAAACAAATCCATAAAGTAGACTTTGAGGAGCACAGCGTTTCTGCAAAGGCCTGGCGAAGGTGTTGTGTAACTTCAGCTCTGAAAAGGCTTGAGACATAGAATACCAGTTTTTCAGGGCAGCGGGACTGGAGGTTGGCAGGCTGTACTGTCTGTAGAAGCACTAAAATGGCTTCCTTTACCTACATGTGACATGGATGGTCGCTGAGAGCATTCTGCTAATGCTGCTGGAGTGCCATCCA